AAAAAAAAAAAAAAAACAACGTGGCCTTTTTCTTTTTTTCAGTGTCAGTCAGCAGGCACAAAAGAGAGAAATAGCTGAGACCTGCACTAGCCGCTACTCCTCTGCATCGACTGATGAAGTTCTCTCACCAAACCGTTATACTTTACTTGTGCCTAACTATCACTCAGGTGGTAACGCAGTTTTTTAGGGACTAATTATATTATTATTAGCCTTTCATCACGAATTAAAGAGAGAAACGTTAGGACGGTGAGAGCCGCCACTTTCTGAGACGTGGCTTGTAAATATGTGTGTGATTGTGTGTGAATGTCTGTTGTTGCAAACAGAGACGAAGCGGAGCATGTCCTGCAGGGCCATGAGTGTTTACAGCAGGGTAACATGAGGAGTAGATCAGCTCGGCCCCGCCTACACCATAACTCTAAATGCAGAAACACAGCTGTGTCTCTGTGTATGAGGGATCGGAGCCAGGGAGGGGCGTGGGGGGGGTGGAGGAGTCGGGGGGGTGAGCTTAAATAAGGAAATGGAATTAGCCATTAGCTCAGCACATTTACACAAAATTCCCTAAAAAATTGAATGTTTATTCCAATACACGCCTCAAAGTCTGTGCTTCACATTTTTAGGGCTTCTATTCAAACTGCCCTAACGTTACAGGCCGACGCAGGGTGGTCATGGGTGCAGGCTGGTGAGCGTGCATGTGTGCAGGGGGGGATGGGGTAACACAGGAATTGGTTGTTTCAGGCCCCACCCTCCCTGAAAACACACTGAGATCAATGTGTCAGATCAATAGAGTCATTGACAGTAACTGAACTTCTCGTCCGATCAGTGGGGCCGAAAATTCACTGTTTTTTCACTGTCAAGGGGGGAATTAGGTGTGATCCTTCACAGGACACACACACACACACACACGTGTGTATAAGGTCATACACAAATGCAGGCAGGAACACACATGCAGAAATTCAAGCTCACACACACACACACACACAGCAGTAGAATACAGGCTGCTTTATGACACTGCATGATAGGTCACTTTTTCCCTCTCTCTCTCTCTCTCTCTCTCTCTCTCTCTCCCTCTTCCTCTCTTGGACACAGAAACATTGTGTTTTTGGCAGCAGTGATGTAACAGGAACCATCACACTGTCCCACATCATCCACCTCCTGATCCATGATTCATACAGCAGCAGATGGGCTGCCAACGTTTGACCGTACATTTCACACACACGGCACCTCGGTGACCCGGATCTATCGGCTCAGTGAACCATCAAATGGGTGACGAGTGAGGAGGTCAGCAGAGGAGCCATGTTTCCAGCAGCTGTCTTTAAAAGACGGTCGTTTGTCATTTATTCTCACGTGGATAAGTAGAAGGAGGTTATTGATCTGTCAGAGGCAACAAATCTTGGGGGAGAGGGGAAAGAGGGAGGGAGCGGGAGGGCCAGTGAGGGAGTAGAGGAGCAAAGGATAGAGTCCCAGAAGAGTCCAAGCCTCTCTCTCTCTCTCTCTCTCTCTCTCTCTCACACACACACACGTATACAGACACACACACACACTCTCTCTCTCCCTCGACCACACATCGCTGTCCGCTCCCTCTGTTTTACTTTGTGGAATGGTGGATTACTTTCTAAACTGAGCTGGTGGAGCAGATCCAGACATGATCAGGTCAGTGAACTTGTTGAAAACCACTGTCTTTGTTTCCTCTCAGTAGAAAATGACAAAGATTCTGCTGCTTCTTGCACATTCCTCCTCCGTTCGTTCCTTATCTTTCCTGATACGACCCCCTTCATCTGGGACACTTGTTCTCATCACACTGTGTTTCTACGAATCGTCGTTCGTGCAGTTTTGTGTAGTTTGTCTTTTGTGTATCGACGATTTTTTTTACTTTAATTTAAACCATTTTTTTTCCCTGTTCCGATTCTGTGTCTTCCTCTCCACGCAGCACAAACTTATCTGTTTGTGATGTTAATGTTGAAACGTGAGGTGCTTCTCTAAAACTTTACCCTTTCCTGCCTCATGTTGTCAGAGGGTAACGGTCCCTGACGCACATGCAGAAAACGTGCATAGAGATAAACAGACGAGGAAATCCACAGGGACCGTCAGAGTTCACCGATGACTGTCGTTCCAGGAGCGGCTCTCCCAATAACAAACACAAAAAAAAAAGTCGAATAAAAAAAGTTCATTGTACGTTAAAAAAAAAAAAAAAACCTCTGAGGCCAGTCTGTCTGTTGGCTCTGACATCAGCATGTGTGCGTTCTTCAGGTGGCCATGTGTGGCAGCAGCGTTGAAGTGTGAGGTGAACCATGGAGGAGTGCAGGAGGCCGCTCACTAGTCCAGACTGCAGCAGCGTCAGCAGAGGCAGTGGTCCAGGCAGAGTCCGCAGCATGCAGCTGGACCGTCACTAGCACCAAGTGGACCTGGTCCCTCTCCTCCTCTTGACCTGGGGGCCAGGGCTGCAGAATGCTCAGTCCTGTCACCCCTTACAGTAAGTCTGCGTTTCACCTGTCACTGCCGACCGCGCTGATGTCGTAAACACCACTCATCCCGCGGTGGAGTGTGTCATTTCTGTAATCCAGATTTATTTTTTTTTACTACACTCCTTCTTCGGCTTCTAGTGTAGAGGAGGGCAGGTGGTGGGGTGGGGGGGAGGTATGGTGGTGGGGGGGGGTCTCTGAGAATAAGATATGTTAATGGCTTTAACAGCTGAGTCTTCAGGCTTTGTTTGCGTAGTGACATTTTTGAAAGAAAGTGTCCAGTGTGTAATTTTCCAGCTCTTGCAGGTTGACAGGTCACAGTTACATGTTGTTTCAATGAAATAAAACAAACGGCGCAGGAACATTGACAGAGCAGAAAATACACCACAGATATATATATATATATATGTGTGAAATTCAAATACATTTAAAGATGAATTCTCACATATAAACATGTTGTTTGTGCTGCCGTGATAGGATATGATCCAACAAAGCTGTTTTCTAGACCATTCTTTGATACGATTGCACTAGAGAATAAATGACTTCTTCACAAAACACTGTAAAATCTAAACCTAAGTTCAGTTCTCGTACCGACTGACGTTTTCTTAGTTCGTATTCATGAGAAAAACGCAAAAATATTTGTTTTATGGGAATTAATCTCATGAAAAAAAACCAAAAAGTATTATCTACAGAAACATGAACTACTGTATTAGACGCTGGTGACTCGGGTTAGTTAGTGGTAAATGTTGCCTTTTACTTGTAATGATATACTGAGGTACAATTATAAACTGTGTTAGTATTTTAGACATAAGAGACGTGACCCTAAAAGTGTAAACAAACATTATATTAATGCAAAATATATGTCATCAATTTAGATTTTTTTTCCACATATTTCACTTTAATCATGTCAGACTCAAACATCTGTGTCTCCGTGGACACTTCTCTGGATTTTAACCTGAATTTCCCGTCCGCCGTTATCTCAGCCAACAGATCCTTTTGCAGGCTCGTCGTGTACGTCTCCAGATAAATCCCCCTAAATCTCACTGACACATCACAGCAGCAGCAGCAGCAGCAGCAGCAGCAGCAGCAGCGTGTATATATGCTAATCATGAGCGGGTGTTATCTGAGCTGATGAATATTCCTATATTGATTGCCTTTGCCTATTGATTAGGCCAGGCTTTAACAGGATTACAACGCTAATCTGATGGGAATAATGCAAGAGGGGATTTACAGCAAAATAATTTTAGATTCCAAAGAGCGACGTCGCACACACACAACACACAGTCCAGACACAATCAACACAAAACTGCGGCCGAGGGTGAGTTTTCTCAAGTGTTCGTGACGTTCACGTGTCACATTCCTTTCACTGAAAGACGCGGCGTCTTCCCACGGAAACACAAAAACTAAAATTAAAACCCGTAAATAAACACTCCCCCACCAAACACAGACATTATGGTCAGCGTCTATTGGTGTGTATGTGTGTGTGTGTGTGTGTGTTGATCAAAGGGACGAGCAGTTGTCCACACGACTCAGTTGTCAGTTTCTCCTGAGCTGGAGTTTCTGTCTGAATAAAAGCCAGATTCTTAGTCAGCCCCGTGTCAACGGGCTCTCATTAGTCCTGCATTCATGGACACACAAACACACACACACTGTTCCACCATCACACACTCATTAGTGGTCCAAAGTCATCAGGGCGGCTTGTGCAGCTAATTGCACACCTTAGCTCCTCATTAGATTTTCCAGTGAAGACCTTTGCGGAGCAGAGTGAAGGGCAGATGGAGAGGACGGGAGGACGGGAGGACGGGTGGACGGGTGGACGGGTGGACGGGTGGACGGACTGGTCAGCTGCAGCCTGATATATGAGTGGACACAATAAGCAAAGTGGGGCCAGGCCAGCCTCTGCCACATGTGAGTGTGAGCTCAGGGAGTGGGGGAGGTGAAAACTGACCACACAGGCTTCAACACACACACACACACACACACATAAATACACACACACACACACACACTGGTGCTACAGCACAGACACAGGCTCTTCAATCTAGTAAAATCAGAAAGAGTTTTTTTTTTTAAATAATTCAAAACAAAACAAACAAAGTTCATTAAAGCTGAGTCCGTTTTTCTCGGTCGTGTTAAGAAAATATGATTTGGAAAATTAACGTCATGTGAGGAGTCAGGGGTTCAGAGTGGGTACAGTAGCTGTGTGGTCAGTGGTCAGTGGTCAGTGGGGGGGTTGTTCCTCCTTCAGACTGGTCCTAATGCTGAATGTTGGAGACGGCGGTCGTTGTTTACTGTCAGGGCAGAAATACAGTGACCGGGTGTCGATTGTCCACCTGAGCAGAAACCAGGCTGCCTGTGTTTCAACAGAAAGTTTCCTCTTCCTCTCTCCTGTTCTGTATTGATCCAAACCCCCCCCCCACTCCCCCTCCCCCCATCCCCCTCCCCCCCCA